GCTGCGAGAGACCGACCGACCGACCGACTGCCGGGGGTGAGCTGCCGGCGTCTGTCCCTGCCGTTCCTCAGCACGCTGGCACCTCGTTTGCTGCCTAACCAGAGAGACGTTTCCCGGCCCAGAACGAGTAGAAGGTGGCAGAAAGAGGGGCTTGCGGCTTGGGAGAGGAGAGAGGGGAGGAAGGAGGGCGAGGGGGAGGCCAGCCGGGCAGCGGGAGGCTTGCCCTTGGTCACGCTGACCCTGTGGTCTCCTTGGAAAACGCTGCCTTGGCGAAGGACTGTGCCCTTGGCACGCAGCCTCCTGGCCGGCATCTATCCCCAGCGTGCCCTGCGGAGGACGGATTTCTGCTGGTCTCAGCCACGCCGAGCTCGCCGTACCGAGGGTCTGGCCGTTAAGCAACACAAAGGTGTAAATGTTTCCCCTGTCCGAACTGCACGTTGATTTATACCTATTACCTTCACTCATTTCCCCTCCCAGCTGTGACGTTAAAATGATATTTTTTCCCCTCGGTCAAAGGAATAAGACTGTGAGTGGTGGGGGATGCGAGGCGGGAGGTGCACCGCATACTCACACGGAGCTACTGAGGCCAGGAGAGGAGCGTGCTCGTGTTCCGATCTGATAGTCGCTCGCTGACTTCACTGTCGAGCCAGGGTTATCGTGTCCTCCTCCCCCAAGATGGGGATACAACGCTGTCCTTATGCTGACAGTCATCCCTCGGTCTCTGGAGTCATCTGTATTTTGCCTCTTGGTCAGGTTTTAAAATTATTTTTTGTTTTACAAGGTACCTCAGAAGCAACCCCCTGCCCTTCCCCAGCTGTCCCTTCACCGAGGGGCATCTGCGAAGAGCAGCCCGCAGTACCCGAGCTCCTCCGGGGTGCCCTGGGGGGAGGCAGAGCGGGCATGCTGAGGCCCAGGAGCTCTCTCTGCCTTGAAGCGGCTGCGTAGGATAAAGTGCCATTGCTGGATATCTCCTGCAAGTGACAGCAGCTTAATTACAAGCTGGAGGAGGCTGGCATGGTTTATGCCTTTGACAACAGTTTAGGACACCATATTATCAGCCTTCTCCAGATCTTGCATGCTGGTTTATGAAGGGCAAAGAACCTGCGATCAATGCCGCCGTTCCCTCGGCACGCACAGCCCCCGTGCCAATCCTGCTCTGCTTACAGGGCACCTGCGGAGAGGACACACGAGGACATCTCCCTCCTCCCTCGCCCTGTGCAAGAGGTGTCCGCTGGAGATCTGCCTCCCAGAGAAAGGGAGAAGGCAATGCAGGATCTTCTCCTGGCTCCTTGTGAATGTGGGACTGGGCTTTTGTGCTTCAGAAATTGTGGGACTGACTCGGGGAGTGCATTTGCATGCACTTTATAATTGAGCACAAATTCCAGCACAGCCATTGTGTATCTGCTCTTTTCCTGGACATAAATACCGGCTACTTTCTTGTAAATACTCTAGAAATCCCTGCTTATGCATTGACTTCAGGATGATTCCTTGTGGCAGAGAATTTGCCTTGGAGTCGAGGCTGTGGGGCTGGGCACCCCTCTTTGATGTTCCTCGATTTTCAGATACCAGCTATAGTGAATAGCTTTGAAATTTTTACCAAGACAAAACTTCCCTTTGCCTTGAAGAGGACATCCAGCCTTGGGCATGAATTCACAATCGCTTGCAGTAAAAAGAGCTTGTTCTTGTTAGTGTCAGGTTGGTCTGGTTGGTTGGTTTTCAGATTGAGCCAAATGGTTATTAAAATGGATGGTGCTCCTGTTCTGGCAAGCTGTCACTTCACAGTGCACCCGGTTCTCTCATGAGCGTGCTTTCCCAGCCCGGCTCCAGGGGCAGAAGATAAGCCAGGAGAAAATGTTCTCTCTAGCCAAGTGCTTGTCTGAAGTGTCCCAGCTACTCTGGAATGATTAGCATCTTTTCCCTTTATGCCTTTTCTGCGTTCGCATGTTCCCATCCCATCTGAAACTGAATGATAAAATATTTTCAAAGTAAAGAAAGCCACATATGGCGTCAGATTGTTGCGCTGTGAGTGCCACCCTTTACTCTCTGTGTGCATGCGATAAGTGGGGTTATCACTTATGGTTTAAATAACAAGGCAGGACATCAGGCACACTTAACGTCTTGAAGATGGAAAAGGGCCAACCACGCACACCCCTCCGCCAACCCCAAATACTATATTTTGGTTTGTAAAACCAAATGTAACTGTGTAAGCACCACCAGTATAGGACTCTGCAGGTATTGGTGTAGTGTCGCAGTGTACCCCAGTCCGTTTTACTGGCAGCCTGCTAGGGAGCCAGGAAAACCATATGAAGGAATATGATCAAGTGGCTTGCGTGAGTCAGGGCTGCTGCGGCATTAGTCCCCGTGCATGCAGCAGTCCTGCAAACGCTGGAGCAGTGCTGCAAAGGGCAGGCAGTCACTCGGAGAGTTACTGGTAGGGTTGGGCAGCACGTCCTGCCCAGGTGGGGTCCCAGCCCCCAGCACAGTGACACAGCCTCCTGCTATCTCACAGGCTTCACGGTTGGGTTAAGCCATTATTTGGGGGGGGAGAGCACAAGACGGGGCTGGCTTAGCAGCGGCAGAGCAAGAGACGAAACGCACGTACCTGCAAACATGGCCCACTCACATTGGAGGCATGGGTGCAGAGAGCATCCTCGCCTCGCACGCCTGCCTGGCAGGGCAGGAATGAGGACAAGGAGGGTTTAGGCTGACCTTGCACACAGTGCGGATGTCGTCTTTTCCCCAGTTGGCCATTTACCTCTGCAGGTAGGGGACCGGGCTAAATTGGTTAGCGGCCTCATTCGATTACGATAAGCCCGATGTTTGTGGGGTGGTTAGGTACTGCCTGGTATGCTGCTGGTAAGGAAGCAAGGGTCAAAAACAGCACAGGAGTCACTGGGCTGCTGGCTCCTCCACCTGCCCTCGCTGCCAACAGCATTTTGGTTTGGGAGAGACTCTATCTTCCTCCTTCCACTGCGGGGGAACATTTGTCTTAGTGGCAGGAGGCTGGCACCATTGAATCATTCGTGCTGGGAAATCAGACTTTCAGTTAAAGTTCAACTGGTTTATTTAGTAGTGTCCCATAAAGACAAGAGGGTGACACAGGATTTTCTAAGTTGTGCAGCTCTTGCGGATGCCCTGAACAAGCAGTGACCCAGACAAACGCTGTCCCCACCGCACGGTCTGCAGAGCCGAGGCGGGTGTGCGAGAGTGGTGCAGGGCAGGGACAGCCAAGGTGAGCCCTGCCCTCCTTGTCATCCCTGGGCTCCTTTGCCATGGGGTAAGAAAGAGCTGGTTATTACAGGTGGCTGCAAAGGTCCCTTCTGTACCTATTTGCCCTGTAGCCCTCAGTGCTCCCTGGAGAGCACTATTGTACCCGTTCAGCCAGGTTGTAGGACCTGGGTACCCAGGGCAGAGGCCGTGGAGGATATCTTCTTGTTAGAAGGTAGAGTTCACCAAAACAAAAGGCTACTGGGGGCCATGCATCTTCTGAATTAATCACCTGAAAGAGCATATTTCTGTCAACAATAAGTAAAACCAGCACCACCACCAAAATACCTTTTTTTTTTTTTTTTTAGGGTAAGAAACAATGCATGTTACTCCCGCAAAAATACTCTGTGGCCTTTGGTTTCACAGATCGAGATGTGGATTATGCCCTTAGCCATGAAAGATATGATCTCCTCGATGTTTATTAACTTATTTTAGTCCGTAAGTGTGGTCCAGTCAAGAAAATATCCTTGTGAAATTGGAGTATGGCTATGACAAGATGCATCTGTTCCCATGGCATCCATCTAAATGCTGGTCAGTTTACAAGTAAAAAAAAAAGTTTTCTCTAAGTGCCATTGCTACAGCTTCGCCCTGGAAATGATATGAATATTAAGTTTGTTCTGCATTTTGCATCCCCTCTGGACACCCGATCCTGCAGGCAGGAATGACCAGCGGATTGCAGCGGGGCTGTGGGAGGCAGAGCCCGCTCTCGTCCTCCAGCTGCACTGCTCTGGAGGTTTCCTGTTTGTATGCCTAATGTCACACTTCTGCAGGGGTGGTTTGAATAAGAACATATCACTTCTTAAAGTTACTGTTCTGGTCTTAGCCACAGTGTAAGGGTTTGGTATAAGGTATACCACACCTTCCCCTAAAATCATGCTAAATAGAGAGTCTTCTGTGAATTCAGCTAGATGTGGGGTTAGGCTCTACATCTGTGTTTTGGGACTCTGCCCAGGCTTATCTACAAAGTCTTATCTAGATTTCTATCTTTTACTCTTTTCTCCCCTTTTAATTTTTACCTAGTACAGGTTTTGGTTGGCTGTCCAAGATCTCAAGAAACAACCTCTACAGGATGTAACCACCAGAGTGGAAGAAATCTGGCAAGAGTTTCTAGCTCCTGGGGCCCAAAGTGCTATCAACCTGGATTCCCACAGCTATGAGAAAACAAGCCAAAATGTCAAAGACCCAGGGAGATATACATATGAAGATGCACAGGTTTGTTTCTGAATTTATAGAACTAATGCTAACAGAACTCTCAGTTTTACTGTGATATTCCACTGTCACGTTGTCACTGCTCACTTGTAAGAAAAAGCAGATGCACAGTTTGAAGTGACTTTAAGGATATCTATTCAAGCTGGGTAAATGATATTTTCTTTGAATCTATCAGTTGTAACAGGCTAATGCTCCTCTGGGAACGAATGTTCCAAAATTTACAAGTCTGCAAGGCACAGCGAGCTGGAGCTATGTCTCAGAGAAAGCAAAGATGAAAGAGTGCTATAAAGTTCAATTTGGCTCTCTGTACTCCCTGTCACCAAAGTCTGGTGTATTTACAGAATGGCTGATATCATCAAAATCCTGGTTAATACACTTTTTTTAATCATTTATTTATTTATAGCTAATTATATCTCACCACCACCACCCCTAGCCAAACCCCAAATTTAGCAGCTCCCTCCAACACAGCTAGAAACTTGTCCACCAGACAATACCTTAGAATAATGATAGGACAGTAGGCAATGCAGTGAGCTTAATCCTTCCCTCCTAAGGGCCCCAGATTTATCAGGGAAATTTTACAGATAAACTGTACACAGAAAATGCCTTTAGGAAAACAGATAATTTGAGAAAAACTGCTATGAGCAAGGATAAAGCTGCATAACCTTCTGAGAAAGTGAAAATATCATTTTATAAAGGCTAAAAAAGAAAAAGGAAGAAGGTGTCATTTGGCAAATATTAACATGGACACAATTAAAAGATATCCTCCTCATAATCATTTTTATCAAAAGCATGTAGTAAAACCAACAGCAAATGAAAAGAATTCCTCTTCTTATATTTTCTTTAAATTGGCATTCAAAGGCAGTTCTTCAAAATACTCCACTAACAAAATATTTCCATCTCAGGGGAGATGTTGTGGACCACTTATACAAGGTTAAGCAATGAATTTTTCAAACCAGCATCAAATACTGTATTTTCCTGAATGCAATCTTGCTCCTTGGGGCCAGCATAGAAGGAACATACGCAAAGTTTCAAGGCAATCCCCTGTGATATCAGCAACTTAAATGTTCTTTTTAAAGCTGAGAAACACAGGAGGATGAAGACATTCTGGCTAAGATGTATTTTTTGCTTTGCAGTTACAGCGAACAAGAACTTCTGCAAATTTGCATCACCTGAAAAAAATGATGATGGCAAAATGCAGGCTAAAGCAGATAGGTGGATAATGGGGGAATTGATTAAATTGATAAGTAGAAGTACTGAAAATAAGATGGATGTTTAGACAATGAGTATTTAATCAGAAGAAGACACAGAGGATTTAGGCTTGAACTGATCAGTTCACAATGTAATTGCCATTCAAAGGGGAGTTGATGAAATCAAGCTGGAGCTCTTGCAGTTAGACTGCAATTTTAGCTCCTTGAGTTAATTCTATTTCAGAGGATTTTTATGCTGATGGATGTTCTCAATTCATCTGCTTTGGTTCATGGACACAGAAGTATGAGACAAAGGTAGACCTTCAGGCCTAGCTGTGGTCCTCTTTGAGACTGAATCTGTGCCAGGAGAGGAGAGGGCAATGTGGAAGGTGAACCCAGTTACCTTCTTGTGCAGAGGACTTCAGGTAGCTCTCCAAAGGCCAAGCAAGCTGTTTCTGACTGCTTGACCAGAGAGCTAAGAAGGCTGTCTAACAAAAGCAGGGAGAAACGGGACACTGCTGAAGGGCGTAGTGCCACGGCGGAGCTGCAGCAATGTTGGCTTTTACTGGCTCATCCTGGAGAGGGGACGTTTTTGCTTGCACATCCACTTCATGGGAACCCAGTGCACCCTGAATCTCCCAGGTACTGTCCTGGCGTCTCCCCCAGGTCAGCCCTGCCACCTCCGGGGCTCTGTTGTTCACAAATCTGCAGCAGGTCATGGCCCAGCTGCCTTATCTCGGCACCCTGGCACCAGGAGCCCATGAGAGCTCCCACACATCCCGCATTCCTAGGGACTCAGCCGGACACAACCAGTCAAAACACCCCACTGTGGGAGGGAAAATATGAGTGTTGTCCTGTCCTGTCCTGTGTAGCTTTAGCGCAAAGAGGAAAACAACTGAAATGTCCTTGTGAATAAAGAACACCAAAAAAAATTAGTTTACTAAACAGCACATTCTTTGAATGCCTGCAGCAATGAGACACTAAGACTAAGAGGAAAGAGAAGGGTTGGCTGAACTGAGAAAATGAAATTGCTGCTCCTGCTGTGGAAAAACAGGAGATGGTGATGTGGCAGTCTAGGCCTTACGCTGACCCAGGAGACCCGCAAAATGCCAATTCTGTATAAAAAGTGCTGGGAATGAACATACTGCTGTGCTTGGGAAGGGGAAGGTGTAGCAGAGCACAGTATATATACTTCAGGCTAGTGAATGCATTATAACCATAAGTTGAAAGCAAAGTATCGTCTGTTATCAGGTGCTTAACAGTCTACATGGATGTGCTTCTTTGCACAGCCTTGGCTCCCAGCCCCAAAGAGCTCTCCCAGATGCTGCACGACCATCTGGTAAGACAACTGTCCTAGAAGAAAACAGGGAGAAAAGGGGGCTCCTGACAAACATGCCTCTCACTTAAGACCTCTTCATCCCAAGGCCACTCACGCTCTAAAGGGAAATGGTTCCTCTATTTAAGAAAAGTGACACTGAAAATCTCAGCTCCAAACGTCCTCCAAACCTGAATTTGGGGTGCATTTATTATTTCAGGCAGACCTACCCCTAAGATGGATTCCCATATCACAGAGGCAAGCGTTTTGCCACTTCCCCGTCCCAGCTGAAGATGTTTGCCCTGTCTTGTCCCTGGCTGCTGCTGCACCCTGCAGTCCTGCGCCGCTCGGCTTGCACAGAGCCGCCTTCCCTTGCTGTGTCTCCTGCATGTCCCCTTGCCCACCCCCTGCCCTGCTCAAGCTGTGCCAGCTCGCCTCGGCTCTGAGCAGAGCGTGCTGTGCTGGCTCAGCCCCTGCTCGCCTCCCCCAGCCATCCAGTTTGCTGGTGTCCCCCATCCTCAAACAGCGCAGCCCCTGCTCCTAGCTCCGTCCCGATCGTCAGCTCTGCCGGCTGTCTTGATCTGCAGCACCTTTTGTCATTTTAGTGCTGGGCCCCTCCAGAGGCGAGCCTACCAATTTAGCTGATTATTTTCTGCTCTTAAACAACTGTCCGCTGAGTAAAATATTATGATTATCAAACCATTTTCACGGGGGAGTAAAGCAGCTTTTAATACAAGGGGCACCGTCGGGAAAGGTCAGTTCAATTAAACAGTGAACTACTTAGCAGGATGTAAGCTCCCACAGGAGTTATCAGCATCATTGAACAACCAATGTGGGGCCCTGCAATATGAAGCAGGCACAGCCAGCTCCGGAAAGTAAATAGGTTTGGGTCCATCTGAATGGCCTCTTTTGGCTAATGAAGCTCCTGACAGCCAAAGTAATTCATCTTTAACATGGGAACCCAGAGCTGTGAGTGTGACAATTATGGCTTATCTGTACAACACGTTATTAGTTTTTAAACTCACCACCACCACCACCACCACCTTCAGGCATCTCCTTGCCTCCTCTGAAATGTCTTTCTGCCTTCAGAAAGTCTTCAATCCCTTCCTCGGTCCCTTGGCCCTGGAAACTAGTATCACAAGAATGCGTTGTGTCTCCTGATAGTAGTGTTTGCTTGTAGGGGCATTTACTGGTAGGCTTCAGAGCTAGGTATGCTAGAGTAAAGTAAGCCACATATTTGTCTTTGGAATTACTTTCCTGTTTGCTTTGTTTATTTTTCTTCTTTCATAAATAAAATAGAGTTTTAAATTGACATTCCTGTACCTGAACTAATCAGCAGCTGATGCTGTTCTTTCTCCCAAGCAGGGAGTGAAATTGCTTGCAAGTGCATCCCTTTCTACCTGAGAAGCCAAGACTCCAGGAGTCCACTTCTCATGGATGATGGGAGAATGTTCTTGCAGATGACTCAGTTCCACACCTGCCAAAACCATGTGCTGCAAGAACACTGTGGTCTTCAATTTTTCTAACTTTTTATCTCTTAAAGTGTTCACCCTCCTAATTAGAAAAAAAAATAAAATCCCTGGGGAGATTCACCTGCTCAGCCCACAGCAGGTATGAATGTTGTGTGCCATCAGGATGGAGTTCATTGCCAAACAGGTATAAGATTTCAATATGTGTTTGTAGCGTGGACTCCAAGAGCTTGAGCTCAATCACTTAAAGGCAGTCCAAGGTGATATAGCAATAGATATCTTACAACCAAAATGTTGATGAGGCATGGAAGGCTGTTTATGTATCCAGCATATATTCTCTAGGCAGGCATCCAAGCAGGGCTGGTGGTCCCTGTGCCAGCATAGCCACCTTTACTCAGAAGCTGCATGCTACTTGTTTCTGTAGGGCTGCATCCTGCTCTGTCACCGTCTCCTATGGGACACAGACTGCCCCAGTGCAACAGAATTTCCTTTCTGCTGCATGAGGGATTCTGCGTGTTCCTCTCCATGGCACAACTCAGCTTTTTGGCAGGATTTTCTCCAGAGAAAACAGAAAGAGGAAGCTGCAGAACGCCCTGCAAGTGTTGGCCAAAAAGTTAAGTAGTTACATCACGTAGCTATACCACAGCATGTATAGGAGAGAAAACCCCCATCTTCATTGCTGCAACTCCTAGATATTGGATTGTTTGGAAAAGAGACACCAGTCTCCCAAATGCTGCATAAGGTTGTCCCCTCCTCCCAGGCAAAACCTGTTCACTTGGGCTTTTTGCCAGTAGCCAGGATTTGGCCCATATTGAGAGAATCAGCCTCTTAGCCACGATCATTGTTCTCAAAACCTAAAGCTGCTCATATGGCGTTAGACTCCCAGCAGCCCACTCTTGTCTCCCAGGATAGCCCTTGCTATATTTAGGACTAAATCCTCCTGCAGTACCAGGCTGACCCCTTAACTGCGCAGCGCTCGACAGACAACCCTTTGCCTCTGTAGTCCTCCGCACTGCGTCTGCCACGGACCCC